TTTATATATTAAATATATTTATTTATAATATAAATTATAAGAATATAAATATAGACATGTAAATACATGTAAATAATTTCGAAATATATACTGTATGTTTGTGTATTTATATATACATAATAAATATACACAGAACACAAACATATATTATGCAAACAAAAACTTTCATTTTGGATGCGATTAATCGTTTGACAGCACTAATAAAAATATAATATTTATAAATACAGTATATTATATTATGGGGTTTAATATTTTATTTTATTATATTACACATATAGGCATTTAAAATATATCAATATCAAAATATAACATACACTTAAATGTTTATTAATACTATAATACACTTATATTATATTCATTAATAATAGTATACTATTAATAATATATTTATAAATATTAAATACATAAATAAATATGAAATTATTATATGAAATTATAAAATGAAATAAATAAAACTATTACATAAAATGTTATATTTATTCATTTAATATTAATTTATAAATGTTTTACGTACACTTAAAATATTAAAAACAATAATAATTATATGATATAACAAAATAACGTAATATTTATAAATATTTGTATTATATTTTACATTACATATGGATATTTCCCTAAACTTTGTCTGCCATCTCGGACAAAAAGCTTCATATTCTGGGATTTTCTACTGGAAAAAGAATACAAGTCATGGTGGCTTGGATTTTGGCCAAAATGAGGTATCTTTGAAGGCAGCTGTGGGAAGGTGGATCTCGAGGCTAAATTGCCCATCTGAGCTCAGAATAACAGGCCACTGAAAACATGATCACGGCCTAACAAACACAACACCAATAATTTACCACAGAGATTGTATATCTGCAGATACACAGTGAGCTGTGACTTTCTATTCCTCCCTCGCCTCTGAAAGCACAGAAACACTCTGTAATAGCACACCTGATGAAGTTCTCCTCAAGAGATATATATATATATCGACTCCAGGAGGTCTTTCCACTCTTACTTCTCAAAGCGCTCGAAGTAAATGCAAACGGACAGCGGTGTGGACAGGTTAAAAGCTGACGGACGCAGACTCCATACCATCCTCCGCAGTAATGTGAGGTTATATGAGGCTGAAGCAAGCAGGCGCCCTGTTATCAATAAAATATACCACGGCGACTGAGAGAACACCTGACAGACTAAGTGTGTTTGAACAGATATCCAGATAAAATAAAATAAAAGATGCATTAAGTTCTACTTTACACGAAGGTAACACCCTTCCCACATCAAGAGGAAACCGGGAACGTCGATAAAATATGAATGTAGAGAGGATAGCTTCAATATTTCTTCTCTTTAGCTTTAGAAATGCCACTAGGGGGCTGAAGGTGAAGTGTGAGATTTCTTACCTCGCATGGATGACGGCTTGTCGATGGGAAAGTCACCGTCCCATACGATGGAGAAATCCACAGGCAGGTCTCCCATCTCATTCCCTTCATACCAGTACTGTGGGAAACAGCAATAGAAACAACATCTATATATCAGGAAAAAAAGGGTTTATACTCTAACAAAACTTACATCTTTTTTTGCCATAAGAAAAACGATCGTTTGCAAACTCAATAGCACTCGTGGCAAAATATGCCCAATCACCACTGACATCATGTGAACATCTCAAGAAACGATTGCAGATGAAGATGATGTTATCGTGTCGCTTTGTCCACCAGCAATCCTGATAACATCTTTCCTGACCCAATGGAAATGAACTTAAATTCAGATCTATAATTTGCTGCACACTCCACAGCACTCCTAGAAAAAATACGGCCAATCACGACTGACATCATCTGAACATCACACTGACAAAGATGATGACAACACAAGCGCTTCGCTCTCTCCACAAGCACTCATTTCATTGCTGATGAGGCCATACCAAGAAAAAGAAAGATAACAAGAGTTCCTCTTTTCTCATCAAACACTGACTTTTTTTTTGTGACAGCCACAATATATATTTACAATATATATATATATATATATTTACATTTAGATATTTAGCAGACACTTTTATCCAAAGCGACTTACAAATGAGGACAATGGAAGCAATCAAAATCAACAAAAGAGCAATAATATATATATAGCTATATATATATATATATATATATATAATATATATATATATATAAATTAAATTTACATAAAATTAAATTTACTGCAGTGATTTCACATACAAAGAAAGCATATTCAATGCAAGTAAAGTGTCTACTTTAATGTTTCAATTCATTTTTGTGAAAATAATGTCAAAATGTGTTGAAAAAACCTGTACTTATAAAAAATATATAAAAGATGTGACCATACCATTTTTTTTTGTATTTTAAATGGATTAAAAACTTCATGCTGACAAATGGGTAAAACCCATTTTTAAAAGAAAAAAAAAAAGATTAAAAATGACAATTAATTAGCATTTTAGGGCTGCACCGTGATCCTTAAATAGTCGTTTAATGTCATCTTATTGATTCTGGCTGTAAATATGCCTGACAAAATTTTAGGTTATACTGAATGACATTTTAGTGGGTGTCTTCTGTAAATCATGGTAAAATTGTATGATAGTCTATTTTTTGTTCAGAAAAAAACACCAATTAAACAGGACACATTCTAATGTACAGGGGAAATTTTATTTAAGCTGCATTAAATTTTGTACTTCGATGCTTGAAAACCCCTTTATACCCCTTTAACTAGGGCTGCACGATAAATCGCATGCGATATTTAACGCGCATCTTGTCAGAAAAGCCGGTTCTGTAATCATCATTTGACAGCACTAATATATATATATATATATATATATATATATATATGAATAAATAACACATACAGATACAGTAAATATATTTGTATATTTGCTGCTAAAAATAACAAGCAGAAAAACAGCTCATTAAGTCTTGCTATGGCGTGTCTCCAGCATGCGGCTGCAGATCGTCAGGTGGAGCAGAAAGCAGGTGACGGTGGGTTTTTTACTGTCTGGGTTTTAATTAGCAACAACACTGAGAGCACTTAGCCAACGCAACCCTGAGAGAATATCGCTGATCAGGCGCATCGATCGGCGGCTGCTTGCTTAAGAGACTTCAAGACAAGATGAGGAGTCCAAGAGAACTCGAGTAAACCTACCAGAGCGAAGCAGCTCCGAATTCAGTGTTTCGAACCGCCACAACCGCACTTTAACTTTGTGTCCCTGATAAACATGAGATCATGCCATTTGAAAGAACTACGAAAACACTCAAGAGACTAATCAGTGCAGCACATGGTTTAATTCAGTGCAAAAATCAACACACTTTTTGCACTGAATGCAAACTGGCTTTTTATGCATATGAATGGTTTTCTGAATGATTTATGCAGAAATTTGCTTCATTAATGCACCCAAATTTGTTTACTATTAAGGATGAATTGACAAAAAAAAATAGCATGTGGTGTTTCAGTGCAAAACCTGCAACTTGTTCACTTATGCTGCTAGAGCAGGAAAATGTTTTAATTTGTGGACACCTTTAGCTGATTAGCCTGATTATCAAGTGCTATTACTGAAAGAAAAAAATTGGTGTAGAAACATTTTTTTATTTAGAAATTGCTAGCAAATGTTACAGTTGCAAAGAAACGGTAAGTAATACATTGCATTAAACATGAAAAACTGAAATAGCACTTCTAAAATGTACTGTAATTTTGTTTTATTTACAAATATGATTTTTTTACAGTACAAAACAACATAGCCAACGTGCAAATAAACAGCGCTATTCATTCTTACTGCATTCTCCCTCAGCAGTGAAAACTGCACTGCATTTATTTCCATTTATGGCCAAACCAAAATCTATGTTTGCTTTGAGGAGATTAGCCTGCGTGTGTAAATGGGTGGAAGCCTTTGTGTTTGCCCATACAATACCGCTTATCTCTGCCAGTAGTGAATTGATTTTCCTCCAGCTTGTCTTCCCACTGTATCGCAGCGTGTTATGTGTAGACAGCCTGGCCTGGTTCTGTCAGAGGCCTCACTGAAAATGACTGGCAAACGACAGCAAGGTAATCTTACCTCTAAAAGCGTCCTCAATTTATCACCAGCCCCGAATGCGAAAAACACAACCCAGGACGGGTGCTATCACAGGAATAAAGGCCATTTCCTCCATTTTGATTTAGCTTTGTACACATCCTTGGGGTACATTTCAATCCCGTTTACACGTTTAATCAAAGGTTATAATATCTGCTAGCGGCACGTGGGTTTTTAAAGAGACCACTCTTAAAAATTGGTGTGCTCAATAATCCACTTATTGGAGCTAAGTTAATACGGTGCTACCGTTTATGGCAGCAGCTATGATGAATAACCAGAGATATTGACTCAGGGGGGAAAATGCTGCTTCTCGAAAAGCAGCCTTCTCTTGAAATTAAGTGATTGCAATTAATTCAAGTGGAATTCGGTGGAACTAAGTATTTAGTCTTTAATAGGATTTTATTGTTTAAAATATATTTTCATAGACCTCATCGCTCTAGATATGCTCGGCTCCAGTTGACCTGTCAATGGTGTCTCCTTCGAGTGACAGAATGAAAATCAATATAACTTAATGATAGAGGACCTGCACATTTAATTAAGTTACAAATTGGACCAGACTCAGCACAAAAAAAGACACAACGGCATCAATGGTATGAGCAGAATGAGCCTGCTGTGTGTGCGGCATTACTTTACGGTAACCTAATTATTGAATCATAGCTATCCCATTACTAACGACAGTCCAGTAATAACAGCATATAATTCACTTCACCGAATGTTGCGTCATGGGCTAATTTCTAGGTTGGGAGAGGGGAATTCTGGGTTATGATAAAAGATACAGCTTCTGTCAGTCCAACTATGATGTGATTTGGTTTGGTTGAGAGCCACTGGAAATAAATAATGGTATGAGTAGTTCTCCTAAAGCAAGGAGGATAAGGAAAGGCGGCCACGTGGATGCGCAAGCAACATGTGCCACCATAAATGAGCTGAGCACGCTGACCTAAAGCATTTTTCTGGTGCATCACTCTAGGAGGGATTTCTTAATTTGGAGGTTCTAGTGCAGCTGAGCCTCTTAATACACGGAAAAACGCTCAGGGTGCAGTTAATGCGATACATTACGCCTGGGACATATACAGTGGATTGATCACCGCATTATTTGATCAATTTATTTTAATAAGGCCCACCTGCTTCAGCACGGCAACCTAATAGCGTTTAGAGTTTAAGGAAGCAAGCCTGTGACTGCACTGAAATGCCATGAACAAGTAACTGAAATTACCTGAGAAACTTTTTTGGCCGTAGTCAGGCTCAAACTGTTAAAACACGTTCCTCTCAGTAGTACGGTACAAAACGGCTAATGCCTGATTGAGCACTTGATGAGAATAATAGAATAATGAGGGTGAGGTGGTTCAAAATGCCTGACAAAAATAACATGTAAGTGTTTTTATTCAAAAAGCTTCCGCTACCCTGCATCGAGGATAATGGGGTTCTTTGTGAGGGCCCTCTCCATCAAGAGTCTGGTTCAGAACTTGGGCATTGTGTAAAAAAGGCCTTTGGCGGTACGTTTCCCTGGTAACACGGCCGGTGCCTGTCGCTAAGGGGTCAGCGGTGCTTAGCAACACTTACACTCATGGACTCATTTGGAGTATTTTGCACACCTCTCTCTTCTTGGAAAAAAAATTAATTTCTTTGGATTTCGCTTCAGCCTAGCAAAAAGCACACCCATTACAGGCGTTTTTTCATGACTAGAATAAAATTAAAAAGTACACACAGAAAGCAGGTGGTTATTATGTTCTGGCAGGGACGAGAACATTTATCTTTTGTCTGTCAAGCGATGTACTATATGAGCAGATGATGCATCAAACCTATGTTCAAGATATAGCTGCTCATTAGTGGTTCTTGAGTGCCACGCAACAGAAAAATGGTCAGCTTGGAACAAAAGAAACAGTCAAATATCACTGACATGCTGTCATAGGGTTAAATAAGTAAACAAATGTGGTTTTACACAACTGAAAATGTGGCTTCAAAAGATTTAAGTACCTTATATTTTTTCCTGAGAGTAAATGTTGTTCCTTTCATAACTGATAATGAAATCTTTGGAAATATGAATGGACTAATAACATCTCCCTGAGGCACACCTTATCGAAATACCATATTTGCTTTTCTTTCACATGATTTGGCTGTTTATCATCATCATGACTAGTGATTACCAAGTAGTTGGTTAGCTTTGTCCAATCAACTTTTAGTATGCTATTACTTAGCATTAAATGTTTGAACATGATCACGGTGTTCAATTAAGTCATGAATTGGACCTTTTGGTCACTGGCCCTGATCGTTAACCATTTTCCTCACAGACACCATGACTACATACTGATTGATTAATTTATTAGCTAGAACAATTAGCATGTTGTTATATTATTGCAACCATCAGCTTTCCTAGTACGTTACTAGCAGAGTACAGTAAAGTTCTTTGTAGAGTATGTGATGTTAAAGCCACACAATAGCAGCATTGTGAAATACTGAAAAGGCAGCTGTCTGAATTCTAGGGTGAGGCAGGAACAGGAAACAGCCAAGAAATTAGGGAGAATGCAGGGCCAGTTAACTTGATTTTTGTCAAAAATAATGACCCCTCAATTCCAGCGCAAGCGAGAGACGTGCCCTAAAGGGAGACCACTTACATCAAGATAAGAGCTGATTAACTAGCTGTAATACAACACCAGTAGCTTGTGTGCCTTTGTCTTCAACACTGTGAGATCAATAAAAACCACTGCGATTCTCACAGGTATGGAAGCTAATGTTAACAATTGCTAAAATTCCATGCAACAAAAAGGGTCATTCCATAAAAAGGTTAATTTTTTATAAGTGAATGGAATTGAATGGAGTTAAAAATAAGCAATAAACTAAGTAAATAAACAAATTGAAACATACATTATCCACAAAAATCTATATAACAAATCTAATAATAATAATAAATAAACTATTACAAACAAACAAACAAATAAACTTATTGTCCACTAAAATCCACAATAAATACATTTATTTATTTGACAGTCAGAAGTTAACTGATACTTCACTGGAATCAATTCACACCTATGATATTCGTAAATAAAAACAGAAAAGAAACAAAAGACTTGAAGTTCTACTGGGAAAAAATGGCTGCAGCAAAAACATGATTGAGCACAAATCTGAGGTTGAACTGAAGTTAAAAAAGCATAAGAGAGAGAACAAAAACTTCCAAAACTTCATCTTTTTTCTATTTGCTTCACCTACCAGTAAACGAACAGAGCTATATGATTACCTTTCCTGAGTAGAGAAAAAAAACAGCTGACCATTTCATACACGTTCTCAGGTGACGTGTAAACAGAAGTTGAAACTGATTGATTCGCCGCCGCCCATCCGAAGGCACTCACAATTTCATTAGCATGGACCCCACGGCCTCAAAGTCACCTGCCGTTGGCTCCCAGAAGACTATGCGGTGCCATTCGCCTTGACGGCCATATTGATTGATTCTAGCTGCCTCGCATGAGAGCGTGTGAGAGAGAGGACACGTGCTGAGGAAGGGAGTGGTGGACAGACGATGACTCTCCTGGGAGTCAGTGTAATCTGTATCAGGGTCTACGGTGATGTTCGATTGCTATTCAGGAAAGATGCATGTCATGAGAGAGATGATGTGCTTTTTCTTTACTGTGTCACTGCTAATCAGACTATCAATTAATCTGTGCATGTCCAGACCAACACAGATAGCACAATGAGGTGAGAGACAAAGAGATAAAGGGGGGATGGGGGACGATGAGGAGAAACTGTGAGAACGTGAGGGTTTGGTTTCCCATCACAGTGAGGTAGAAACAAAGAACTCATCTAGAAACACTGCAGTCCAACCTTTCTGAGCAGGTTTAAGTTAGTAAAACTGTCAACATGAACTAGCCATCTACCTGAAAAACAACACATTAGGTTTCATAGTAGAATGGGAACATGCATAACTGACAAAAACAAGTGAAAATCTTTCTGTTTTCTACAGTATAATCATGCAGCCCCATGCAGACCACAGAACACTACAAGTGTAACGTGACGTGATAAAGCTAGATCACTCCCATCAAAATTAATAAAGTTGTCTGCCAATCCACAATGTTTATACAGGGCATGCAAACTATGCTGAGGTGACAAATACTAACAAATCTATACTAGTTTGAACTAGCATGACCAGCATGATACTAATTTTCAGGAAAAAAAAACAGCCATTGCAAGCTGACAATGAGAAAAGAGGCACAAAACAAATGATTTGTGTAGCATAAGAAATATACAAAGAAATATACAAATGAGATTGTTCATCAAATTCTTTATTGCTTAATTTAAAATGTCAAAATAAATAAATAAATAAAAACAACATTTCTTTATTTTCAATTTCCTAATAAATAAATAAATAAATAAATAAAATGTCTGGTATGAACCAGTGTCATTAGACTACTGTTAGTTTGTATTCATATTTTGAATTTATTTTTAATTTTTCCAATTTCATTTTAATTTAGTGTTTAGTCATTTTGTTCTGATTTTGTGCTAAAAAGTGCCAAATGTGAGGGAAAATTAGCATCGGTGAGTAAATAAGAACAATATCATTACTTGATTGCAGCAGGGAGTACTTTAAGCACCTCTTGATTTAAAAAAAAAAAATCCAGTTCTTCCATTTAAAAAAGCATGTCAAGTACCCTGTATGAAATTATATATATATACAGTATATATATATATATATATATATATATATATATATACCATACCATATAAAAGCTCTTACATACAAAAAACTTTGTCAGTCATTTAGGAGTCTATTTATGTCACGTTGTGTAACAGTTCTGCAGTCAGTGTGGACAGATAAGTCGCATCAAAGCGCTGTGAAATTGTTGGTTTCGCAAGATTTTACAAATAAAAGACCCGCACAGAAATCCCCATGTCAATATTCATCTGCGATAAGTAAATAAAAAACCTGTTGCCCTCCATATAGTCAATATGCACCGGCATCATCACTGACAGGCGGCCGCAAAACTCACTTCGCATCTAAATGCCTTCAGGTCCGAGGCTGTGTTTAGACTGCACAAGTCACTACGTTTCAATTCCAATTTAAATGCATAGCGCTGTCGGAGACGGCAGCGCAGGTCAGAGACAAGGAGACTGATGAACAGGAGGAGATGAGTCAAAACAGATGGAAGGACAACAGTTGCACCGGGGTCCTGCGAGGGGACCTTCGAACCGCGCGAAAACAGCAGCATGTGTCATTCCTGGAAAGGATGACAATCAATCCAGCACGGGGGCGAACGCTACAGACGTGGTCCTCATTATTAAACTGCGACGGGACATCGATTCTCTTGTCGCAGGGTTCTGGCTAGTGGATTGACCTTTGACCCCGTCAGGGTACAGAGGTCAAAGGGCACACACTCCACCTCCAGCGTGGCAAATGGGGTTCACCGCATTCCTTTTCACCGGGTCACACTGTCGTGCCAAATTACGAGGCACGTCCAGCGCCTAGCTAATTATCTTACGAGATTCCCTGAGGTTACCGTGACAACCAGATGGGTCGCAGACGGCAAGCGCCTGTACCGCCTGCATATGAAAGCGAATGGGAGGATGGAGAGAGAGAGAGAGAGAGAGAGAGAGAGAGAGATTCTCAATGTCAACATCTTGACATGCTCCATTTTTCACTGGGATTGAGAAAACAACACTTTCAGCGTTATAAATTGATGTCTTTGCTGATTTACCCAGATAAAGATTCGTATTTTTTTATGATCAGTGATTCAGTGAGAAGTCACCTTGGCTTTCTCAGCACACTTCAGACAAATTCATCACCACCACTTTGCCCTACAAGCGACGATTTGCAGCTCATGCTAATTTTTTAAATGGAAAAATAATGTCACAAAGCTAAATATAATGAGAGAAAACAATGCATCTGTTCGTATGACAATTATTCAAATGCCATCTGGGGTGAGGCTACGCTTGGAAAAATACGCTGATTAATAAATGACATGCTTGCCGTTTAGGATATATTAAAAGCAATAGTTCTCTCAAAAATAACAGTTCCGTCATTATTTTCTCACCCTCGTGTCATTCCAAACCCGTATGCTGTCATTTTGTTCTTTTTTCTGCTTACCACAGAAAGTAAATAATCTTCAAAAAGATCATTTACATTCTAATTCGAAAAAAGACACACACAAAAACTATGAAACACCATAAAAAAAAAAAAGTTTGTGTGACAAACAGACTGAAATTTAAGTCATTGTGTGTTTATAATCAAATACGGCACAGTTAGGGAGCAATTAGATATTTTTCCTATTCAAGCTGTGAATTTAATTTATGCAAGCAATTGGAATATCACAAAAAATATTTCACAGCATTTGCATCTCATGTTCAACAGAACAAAATAGTCAATTAAGGCATGCAAGATGCAAAGTGAATATGCAAGTGAATGTTTTAATGCACATTTTAGAAGTTCTCATCCAGAATTTTTTATGCAATATGTCAAAAATCACATAAAATAAGCCACCGTTCTAAAGTTTGGCTTGGAATGATTTTTAATGGTTTTAAAAGATGTTTCTTATGCTCACTAAGGCTGAATTTATTTGATCAAAAATACAGTAAAAACAGCAATATTCTGAAATATTATTACAATTTAAAAGAACTGTTTTCTATTTGAATACATTTTTAAATGTAATTTATTCCTGTGATGACAAAGCTGAATTTTCAGCATCATTACTCCAGTCTTCAGTGTCACACGATCCTTCAGAAATCATTCTAATATGCTGATTTGCTGCTCAAGAAACATTTCTTATTATTAATGCTGAAAACGTTTGTGCTTCTGAATATTTGCGTGAATATCGTGATTCATTTTTCAGGATTCTTTGAAGCATAAAAAGATCAAAATCAGCATTCATTTGAAACAGATATGCTTTGCAGCAATGTAAATGTATTCACTGTCACTTTTGTTCAATGTAATGCATTCTGGCTGAATGAAAGCATTAATTTCTTTCAAAATTGTACTGACCCCAAACATTTGAACAGTAGTGTATATGAATGGAAACCAGGATATTAATAAATGCCATTGGCTCTCGAGTCTCTAATAACCAAACAACAGTGCTTGACATCAGGGTGAATAAATAATAATAATTTTTATGTAAACTATTCCTTTAAGAAATTCTGCCATTGCTAAAGGATGTCAACTTGAACCTTCAGATTAAGCCACTGCTATAAAGAAAATCCATTTTTCCTGCATTAATATCCACTATTCATCATGTGTTCCTAAACTGAAGTGCAGTTCGTAAGCGAAAGAGTTGTTGTCTTAGAAATGAAGCAAAGTGCTCTTACCGAAGTGTTCTGGCACTGGATGCAGGAGCTGTTAAAACGGACCGCGGGAATACGCTGAACTTTGCCCTGGATTTTAAAGACGCACTCATAGTTCTTTTGTCCCGACTGAGGCTGGGGCAAGTTCCGAGCTCGCAGTGTGATTGGCCGAATGATCCCCGCCGGTACCAGGATGTCGCTGCTAGGCAGAATCTGCGGGCAACCCTGAAAACGACAAAAAAAGACAATACGTTATAATTCAGTCTCGGAGCAAAGCACAAACAATCCCGACTCATAAATATCGTAACCGATTCCACTTTCATTCCAAAGATGACACTGATTCCAATTTATTGAGCTCAAGGACAATAAATAACGTCTATCGGGCTGAAACTTTGCCTACAAACGTGGTATTCGGTCTCACACAAATGCGCCAAGAAAGGAAATCGAGGCCATTAGGGTGGGAATAACTTAAAATCCAGCAATCTGCGGCTAAAAACCCTATTACACAGCACTTGCATCCATCTCCAGTTTTACGAAGCGCGGGTTCTCTCGGCAGATCACCTTGATGAAGCGGTAAATGAATATCTTCCTTAGTCCTGCGTGTCAAGTCGTGCTAGAAGAGTCATTACGGTCTACTCTACCCGTAACCGATTGCGGCATTTATCAAAGACACTCATTTTGACGTGACTTCTGATCACACCGATGGAAAACGAGTCTCATATCCTGAGATATATTAGCAGGTCAGAAATGACAACACATGCAGAGCACAATCTGGAGAGAGAAACAAGGTTCCTGTTTAGACAAACCGCATTAATTGATTGATGATTATCACTTATCGACGGGTGCACAGAGGTGTTGGTTGCAAACCAGCTCTTCTCATTCCAAGTTGTGCATCTGAGGATATTTCGGACTATCTGTAATCTATTTAACACTGAACAATAATCAGGGTGGCAGTAAAAGCAATTTGCAGGCAGAGGAGACATAAATCAGAGACGACTAGCCACCCAGCTCACCGGCAGCCCGAGCCAAAAAAGCAGCATGCTTAACAATGATGCAACTATTTAACCCGGACCTCCATCAATCTGCACAGGTTTGCATATCAGCGCAACAATAAATCTCATTTTCATATTGGGTGTTTGTAAGGAAGGATTTACTCCCCGTGGAGGCACGAGGGGCGCACAGGTGGTGACTGCAGCAAGGGGAAGGATAGCATGCCTTCATACTGCAAAATGAGCACGATGAATCACCTTTAGTTCTGCCGAAGATGACAACAGTGAACTAATGATAAATTACTCCAGACGACTGGCCCATAAACAAATACACAGTCTACGGGCGTCAGAAAGCGACTCTGATAAGGCGAAACTCGGGATGGGTGTATTTAATGAGAAAACAAAGCTCGGTCACCGAAAAGGGTTTCAGCTGTTGCGATTCTGGGCTAAAATGCTGAATGTGTGATACGAGGCTCAGAACCGCAAAATATACATACTCTCTCTGCTTCCCGGTATGTCTATTTCCTTAGTGTATAGTATTTCAAAAGAAGTATGTCAAACACTTTTATGCAGTGCTGTATGTCTGAATGAGCAGTACACATGACTCAATGCAGGAAAAGTACCCAGATTACCTTCTACTAAGATTTAAAAGTATACATCAGATGTATGCTTTCTGGACACTTGGCATTCATGCCACACACTTGCATAATAATAGAACATACTTTGACCAGTCAAAAAGTAAGTTCTTCATCAAATGTATGTAGTACGTTCTGTGACAGTACACAAACTCAGATTCAGCTAAGGATGTGATGCTTCAAGCATCAAATAATACTTTGAATGCTCACTGAAAGCAAAAAATATATTCTGATTATATTCAACACGGCATCAATAAATGTAATTTCTGCACTATTTAGAATTGAACTGAGAATGACTTTTTAAATTATAACCCAATTGCTAAATTGGAATTGAATTTGAATTGAGGTAGCAGACATGACGCCATGTTTGAAATTCAAATTTAAATGCAAGGAAGAAAAATTAAAATGAACTGAAACTCAAAGAAATCCACATAACTGTATTTTTTTATGAAAAGCAAAGTTTGAAAAGACAAATGTTTAATGTTTCCTACATAGACAGAACAGACAGACAGGATGATAGACAGAATAATAATGCTAGACAATATTAGAACTAACAATAGCTAAATTTAAAAGAACAATAGCCAGACAGAATGATGACTGAATAACAAAACAACGTAATGATAGGCAGAACAACGTAACGACAGACAGACAGACAGACATAACAGAGAGATCGAAGAAAAGATAGACAGAGAGAACGACAGACAGACAGACAGACAGACAGATAGACAGATAGATAGATAGATAGATAGATGGCATAGACAGACAGACAAACAGACAGACAGGTAACAGACAGAGATAACAGATGGACAGATAGATAGAACAAAAGATAGAGAGAACGACAGACAGAGAACGACAGACAGAGAATGACAGACAGAGAACGACAGACAGAGAACGACAGACAGACAGAGAGACAGAGAGATAGATAGACAGACAGACAGACAGACAGACAGACAGACAGATAGATAGATAGATAGATAGATAGATAGATAGAAAGATGACAGACAAACAGACAGATAGATAACAGACAGAGATAACAGATGGACAGATAGATAGAACAAAAGACAGACAGACAGACAGACAGACAGACAGACAGATAGACAGATAGATAGACAGATAGATAGACAGATAGATAGATAGACAGACAGATGACAGAATCTCAGACAGACATATAACAGACGGACAGATAGACAGAATGAAAGACAGACATAGATAACAGATGGACAGATGAATAGAATGACAGACTCTGGCAGAAATAAAGGAAATTTGACAAAAACAGAGAGAACGAGACTGAATTACTGAATTTGCGCCACTGCTCTGAGTTCCCTGACCCGCTGCTGCTGGAGTGGATTACACAACAGTTAAATCCCGTCTCTTTCAAAGTTTCAAAGTACCTCCACGAGAGGCTGATTCAAGGTGATGAAAACGAGGGGGACAAATTACAACCCATGGAGGAGCACTAACAGACTGCAGTCAGAGATATTTAGCACAGGTGATTCTGCTAATGGACTATAATGGGCTTTTCATCAAGTTTTTGCCGTTTAGAATCGGGACACAGCTGCTCCATTGTGTGCGTGCACTCCGAAGTTTTAGCACATGACATCATTAGTCTGATCCAAAACCACCATTTGAAAAATATTGTTTAAAGCGCTCCTGATAATACCTCCGACCATAACTAATAAACTCACGCTATCATCTGAAAACAAATCTATCTCCATCCATCCATCATTAATATTATAATCAAAACTGTCCTTAAATATCATAATAGTTTGGCTGATTGTTATCTGCTGTCAATTAGAAACCTCCACCATCTTTTCTCTTAACAAACCTGCTAACAACATCCATTGCTGTGTATATTCTGCTCAAATTGAAGGCAACTGCCCCCGAAGACATTTCCTGCCCCGTCCCTCTTAATGTCAGTTTGCTTGTTCTCATTAACAAGCTCCAATCACTACTTAATTATGAATTAAACAAGCCAGGAATTGAGTGTTTGCTGAACGTGGCTCAAAGGTTACAGATAAGCTGAAGAGCTTGTTAACTAAAGAGTGGTGAAGTAATGTTAGCGTTTACCAGTACATAACTCATCACGCCGGGAGCACTGCATATATAATGTGTAGCTGTTCTTCTGATTGGACGAGCCTTGTTTGAAGCCACATCAATTGAATTCTATATTAACGTGCCATGTTGCCATGGTGGCATCTGTAAACAGCCTACGGTTAGGCTAATGAACTATATTACGCTCAGAAGAATTGTTTATTGAGGTTATTATGATTAATATGTTTCATTACTTATGGAACAGCCGTGTCTTTGCATCATGTTGTGGCTAAAACCCAATAGCTAGGCTGTAAGCATTATTTGCATGACCTTAAACAGATATTAACAACAGGATATGATGTCACACCTGCTGTTTGAACAATAAATGTAAATGGTATAATAAATATGTGATAAAAATAATACATTAAAAAAGTTAAAACATACTATCTACTTTTCCAAGACACTGCAGACAGAGCTTGAGGTTTCTAGGTTTCAATGCAAAAACATAACTAAAAAAACGAAATAAAATCAAATACTTTTTTTTTAGCAAAACTATATACAAATTCTTAATTTACTTAGGAAAAAAAAATGCACACATTTTGAGTCTTGTTTTCCAAATAATAAATCTTTAAGAATTTATTTTTCTTAATGCACTGGCAAACTGTCTTTTTCTTATTTTAAGCATATATTTATTAGAATTCTGTGAGTTTTTTTGCTTAAAACAAGAAATTTACAATCTTACACAGTTTGTAGGCATTACCTTACACATTAAAAGTAGAAAATTCTGTTTTGCAGTGCTGTATTGACAAACCTGTGTTGTACAGCTCATACAGGTCAAAAATATTTTCGCAATATGAAATTATATTAAAAACAACTTTAAATTAAATTAAAATTAATTAATAACTAAATAAGTTGTGCGAATGCCATTGTTATTATAGTTAATGAAAACTGAAATTAAAATTAAAAACATTTTTGTTGCTTGAAATAAAAATAAACATTAACTGAAATAACATTTTAAAAAGTTTTATTTCAGCTATAGTTGCTAAAGCAGCCTTTCTCATTTTAATTCAGTTTAAATTAATGTACCAAAATAAAAATGAAATAAAAATGAATAAAAAACTACATAGACTTAAAGGGGTCATATGATGCGATTTCAAGTTTTCCTTTCTCTTTGGAGTGTTACAAGCTCTTGGTGCATAAAGAAGATCTGTAAAGTTGCAAAGACTAAAGTCTCAAATCCAAAGAGATATTCTTTATAAAAGTTAAGAGTCAGCCACGCCTACCTAAAACGCCTCGTTCTAACACGCCCCCACATATCTACGTCACTATGTGGAAATATTAGCATAATGCCATCCAAATGTGCATGCAAAGAAAGAAGGCGTGGTTTCAGGATGCGCAGTAGTGTTGATGCAGCCATGTCAGGGAGAAGCTGTGTTTCAGTGCGAAAGCAAAAGCACTTTATTTGGCCTTCCAGAAGTAGATGCAATTAGGAATCATTGGTTAAGATTTATTTACAACAGAACAGCACAACCCAGATGTTCAAATTTGTGCAACGCATTTTATGGACGAC